TCAGAATCTAATCATAGACAACTTAAATCTTTTAAACGTTACCCACATTAGTAATTGCAAAATAATAAACATGACAAAATTCAGATTAATAGGGCATCCTGCATAACTTGGATGGCAGGGAGAGCCCTCTGGAATTCTAAGAGTAATAGGTCTGTGTTTATTTCTCAACCGACGGCATAATGTGACTGATTTACAAGAGTTTAACTCAAGTGTTAATCTGACAGTGACGAAGAGCTTCTCAGTGGCAGAATCACTTACACTATCATATTAGTTGCCTCCTCTATTAAAGCAGTATGGTCGATAATTGGAATGCTTTTATGTCTAGTGGTTCTGACAAGGCTCTCTTTAGGTCACATATGGGCGGTCTGGCTTGCTGCACAGCTGAACAGTGGCAAATGATTTAAACTGAGAAAGTATTGTTCTCCTCATATTATGGAGCAAGGGCAGTTCAAGGAAAGTAAGGCTCTGCACCGGCTACCTGCTGGTGTGTAGTAAAATAAGATGGACATGATACTGGGTTGGGAGTACAATTAAATCTATTTTACACCGATGTGTTGGTGGACAGATGAGTTTCCACATGGCAGAGCTTTATGATCTTTAAGGTAGACTGAACTAATAGATTGGTGTGGAACGCACTGAAGTTACTAAGGATGAGAAAGCAAGCAGCAGTACATTTGAACTACAGGTTTCTCATATGCTCCACGTCATGCTGAGTTTTTATAGCTCCTGGCTTTCAAAAAGCCTGTTTCAAAGAGGTTTGCGCTAGACTGGGCATGCAGTTTTGCTCTGCAGATATTGTCGCTACCGATTTAGTGGAATGCAATTAGGAAGCCTAAATTAAGTGGTAATGGAGAACCAGCTCTTGAAACTGGGGTTTCCACGGCAACCACTGCTTACAATACAGCCTTCAGTTAGTTTTCCCACTTTATCTGCAAAATGCACAATTGAGCTTTAAAACAGCTTTGTGCTGAAAAGCGCACTGTAAACAACTGTTTGCAATGAGAGTTTTACACTGTCTTTAAATACAACAAGCTATCAAATAAAATTTACTTGTCTCCACTAATAAAAAAAATAAACAAAATATCCACACAGTACAAAACACTGAAGAGTCCAGAAACTTACTATTCATTCTGGAAATCTGTATATAATATAAAAATTCAAGATGTTATGGCTCGTCAATTTGTCTTTTAAGACTTATCATTATTCCTCAGTTTTAAGACGTATAATCCCATATCTCTCAGTAGTGAGAAGAACTGAGCATTTTGGTACAAACACTGCATTTATCGTAATAGCAACGCTATATAGTTATAAAGTGCTTTTTGTCTAATATGAACTAATAAATGTGCATTTTCATCAGACTTCCTTTTACATCTAGCAATCTTTTATAGATTTTTCCCTTTATAATGCATTATTATATCCTTCATAAATGTTATTTTATGGCAAAGTAATGCTGTGCCATTTCTGAACTGCTTAACATTCTTGATTGCTTTAGGATCACAGCCCAACTTTTGCATCTTGTCAAAACCACTCACAGGTGATTAAATATGTGCAAAATACAGAAAAGCGGAAAAGATGACGTTAAGATCATGTGTAATTTGTATTGACCACCCTTTTCATAACACCATCAAACTGAATCTCTAAGCTGAAATTAAGTATTTGCAAACAATTATTCTCCTCTGTTGTACAATCACAAGTCTTAGTTTAATACTTCCAGGTGATTAGTGAGAGTTGAGAGGTTGGCAGTTTTCAATGTTCCCTTTTTTTTTTTTCCCCTTCTTGTTTGTTTTAATAAAGATAAAAATCTCAGAGAAAACATTGTACAAACATCCCTGAGATAATTTCAGAAGAAACATGACGTAATTTTGATTTTTGGCCTATTGACTGATACAGTACTCTTTTAAGGCAACATTTTTTGGAAAAAGAGAAAAGACACACCAGCAAAGGATCCCATAGCAAATCAAACCAGACCTAATTTGTGTCTCAGCTGAAGTACATCAGCCCAAGCAACTTGCAGCCTTTCAAGGCTGATACACTTTGTGTGTGTGTGTGTGTGTGTGTGTTACAGCAACCATAACAGGTCGATGCAGAGAAAGAGAAAAGGGGTGTGGGGGTGAAGGTGGTGAGAAGGGGAGAGAAGGGGGAGGTGTGGGTGCCTTCCCTCAGGAGTCTATTGGTCAGAGGACTGCATCTTGACATCTGCAGTCATGTATAAATCTGGATTTGATATAGTCTCTGCAGACTTTGAACATGCCAGGCAGGGAAGCTTGCCCTTCACAGTATGGGTGTACTTTCAGATGCAGAGATTGGGCTGTGACTATTCTGATCTGCTCGAAACAGCCTTTTCAGCACTAACCGAAAACAGAGTGAGGATGGGAAGGCTGACTGCAAAGTTCACATCTCCTGTGCTGTGTTCTGGTGCTAATGGGAGTTTCTCCTGTGATGGGTAGGTCATAAAACACACAGTTGCAGAGACTGTGAGGAGTCTGAACAAATCAAAGAACTTAGTAATAAAAATGATGTGTGTGCCAATATTATTTAATATTAACTTGTGAAAACTATTGAAGAAACATATCTTTGTCATATATCAGAATTGGTTCAAAGTTGAATAAATGGGTTAATAGGGTTATTTGTATTGATATTGTCCTCATAAACACTTTATTATTTAGGAATCAGAGCTGGAAACTGTAATTTCTCTAATGGTTTTTCATCACATAAATTAGCCTGCCTCAAGTCCTCCGTCTAGGAGGCAAGAGGAGAGGTTGAGCTGGTCCTCTTCCTCATTCTTACACAAAATCTGCTCGTTTGGATGGATCCCAAATTTTAAAGAAACAAGTTCCTGGAAGAAACGCAGAATGCAAGTGCACACAAGACTTTCATAGGGCATCTCGTTTCAACACCGACTGCCTGCATTTTATCGGAGTACTAAAGGACACACTGAAATTATTTTGTTCTGGCACTGGCATGCATTGTGATGTGTATGCATTCAATTGCACTTGACAAATCTTTGGGGCAAACAAAATGGTCTAATGTAAGGAAATATCTTAACATATTCCAAAATGACATTTTTAGACCAAACATGTGTTCGATTGATTTGCCTTCTCCAGAGATCACTTTTGAATCTGGGCCAGCAATAAGCAGGGGGGGCAGGCTCTTGCTGAAGGCCAGGAGGGTCAGCCGTGCTTCCGCTGGTATTTCCTGCGCTGCAGAGTTCCGTACCTAACTGTACAAATAGCTCCACATGGCATCCTGAGAGCGTGCCAGGGAATTTTATGATCGCATGCCAAGTATGGTTGTCAGGTTCCACTCCACTGCTGTGTGTGTATGTGTGTGCTCATATGTGTGTGTGGCTGGAGCTAACTTCAGACTGTGTAATTACCATAATCCAAACAGGGCCTTTACCATCTTATTTGCATTCAGCCAGCAGTGCTGTTTTTATCAGCACCACTACTGAATTGTTGCAAAGTTTTAATTATCTTGACAACTCTCCTCTTTTTTTTTTTTGACTCTCCCCCCTCTTGGGTTATGTTTGGATTTTAGCAACCGTACCCCTACAGCAGCAAATCAGATTTCTGCAATGGGAAGTTTTCTCACTTTTTCTTCTAGTAGTTATAAGCAGATGCAAAGGCAGCTTAGAATGAGTACAGAGTGAAGTTGTATTTATTAATTAATGCTTAATATTTTTTGCAGCAAAAGTCACTCCAGATGCCTCTTTTTGATTTGTATTTTAAACCCTGGTGTAACTTTACACACATGTGTAAGCTTGCAAAATTGAAAGAAAACCATTTCCTATGCAGACAGATACCCCCTTGCATAAATGTTTGCCAAAATAGAGCTTTAGTTGTCATGTTTTCTATATTTCCATAATCTTTTGATTTAGGATTAGTATAAAGTGTATCATGCCACTTATATTTGCTCTCTCTCAAACACTCTGCATTTTCAGTATTTGAATGCTAAGTTAGACAAATTCAACCTTGAAATAAGACACCGTTTCCTAGCAGTAAGGGTAATTAAACACTGGAAGAGCTTACCTAGGGAAGAGGTGGACTCACTACATCTTGGAGTCTTTAAAATGAGATTCTAGAAGCTTAGGCAACTTTCTGAAAGACATTATTTAATCCAAACTTCCATCCTCAACTGGGGAAAGATTCTAGCGTACATATATGGGAGGTCATGTGAGGCAATCGCTCAAGTCCCTTTTGATTTCTCAGCCTGTTGGCCTAAACCTGCGTTTGGATATGTTTTGGTTCACATTTAAAGATCAGTTATAACATCTACATACAGAAATTGTCTTTTGGGAATATTGAGATTAAATATGTTTCAAAACTTTGTTGTCTGCTGTAGACAATAATGTTTTGCCTGCTAGGTTTTGCACTGCATTCTGTTTTGGTTTTATAAGTAGATACAAATCACAAAGGTTAATGCAGATTAAAATAGTCCAGTATGAGATTGCTATGGAGGAATAAAAGGCTTTCAAACCTAAAGATTCACAAGTGGAACAAATGCAAAAATGATTTCTAGTCTGTTGGCTTCTCAGGTGCAATAAATACTTTTTTTAAAAAAGCACAATTAATATATTTTTCTAACCATAGAATACTGTGATTGTACTTAGTGTCTCATCTCTTTTGAAGCTTATGCATTAGATTACATATGATTGCCATCAAACAGTGTGGTAGTATTCTGTTATTCTGAAAGGTAAACAAATTCTGTTTAGCAGTCATTAAATATTTGGTTTGCTGCAGTTTGGCCTTATGAACACCTTATCCTTGTTTTCCCTTTAAAAGGCAAAAATTAAAAGTAAGAACCATTAGGGATTTCTCTTTAAATCCAGCAATCTATGCATACTACTAAGAATCAATGCCCTGTAAGCTGTCTGGTGTTCTGCAATAAATTCTAGCTTTTATAGACTTTTTCTGGGCCAGGTAGCTTCTAATGCCATAGAAATTGATTATTTGTGGTGTTCTTATCACTGCTTAAAATATCTAATTGCTTTTTCTCCACAGATTTGGATTTGGCTTGCTTGATGCTGGACGATTAATGAAGGAAGCCCTAACTGGACAAAGGTTGGTCTCCTGAGACAATGTGTTGTTGATAATGGGTCTGATTTGAGCAAGTCTAGTCAAATTCAATTTTGATAGTATTTAAAGGCACATGCAGGACACATATCGCTGAGTTTTCAATTGGTTTGTCAGGTTTCTTTATGTCTGTTGTGTTACCAAAGCTTATTCCCATTAAGTATTAAAGTTTGCAAAACAGCAAAGACACATACCTGTCAGCTGCAGAGAAAAAAATTTTGCCTCAGTATAGCAAGTTTTGTTCAAAATTTGCCTTTATTCTTTCACACTATGCAGACCGGAATATGTAATTCATCACTGCGTGACTGTTCCCGTGGAGGAATTATTGCACTGATTATTTTGAACCCTAAAAATTATTGATTGAGGTAAAAAAAGAGACAAGAAGGTATTGCAATCAGTTCTCAATTTAGCAAGGGCAGCCTTTTTAAAGGCAGCTAATCCTTAGCCTAAAAGCTGTATGCAGTTGCTACTGCTCCTGTAGGATTTTTCACGAAGCTGTGCCTGTGTCATTTATTTGAAGTTGAGTACAAAACATTTTCCACTGCACTGCCAAATGAAGATAAAGGCCAACATCAAGTCACTATCTTACTGGATCACTGTATTGAGTGTGAAATTCAGCTCACAACTCAGTCCCAGTTCTAGCTGAGGAGCAAAAAGATCTCATATGCCACCAGAATACTGGACTCCAGGACGTCTTGTTCTCATCAAGTCAAAGCAATGACATCTAGAGTTCAGTAGGATCTAGAGTACTTTCCTCCTTTCAAGAGATCTTTTTTGCTAGAGATAGGTAAACTAGAGGGAAGTGGAACTTACATCCATGTACTTTGCACCCTGTCTAACCATGGTGACAGTCTCTCTTTGTCCCCAGAGAGCGTTATTGAAGGTGAGCCTAATGGCCAGCTCCCTGGAGGTCTAGGCATGCACTGTGCATCGTTTTTAAGCACCAGCTCGCAGAAGTGACTGCAGACCCTGGTGTTTGTTGTCTTTTGAACACAGTGTAGGGAAAGGCAGAAATCTCAGAGTGAGAAGCAAAACGGATGGACATGGAAAGCACAAGGTCCATGCCCCAGCTCCAGCATCTATCTGTAATCATAGCACTTTTAAGCAAAGTGGTCCCTAGCCAGTTTGGGGCCTGGAGTCCTCTCCTCAAGCTGGCACTAACAATATTCAATTCAAATAAATCAATAACACCATTCTTGTCTTTTGCAGCATTATCACAGTCACAGCAGTCATGCTGTAAACTAATTTTTTATCTAACAGTCTAGTAATGGTTTAGGCAATGTTTCACTTATGAGGATGCTCCAGGTCAGTTCTCTCTCCAGCCCCAGAGCAGTCAGCCTTGTCACTGCCACTTTGCAGTGGCACCCCTTAGACACAATGCTCTGAATCAGAGTGCTCCCCCTTTGTTTTGGGCATGCAATATTTTAGGAAACAATGTAAGGTTTATTAGTCTGAGAAAAAACAAGAGACAAGCCATAATTTCTTTTTTTCTTGCTGTGCAGGTACAGGACCCAGTTACCTAGGAGAAGCTCAGCCCACAAGCCAAGGCATGTTTTTGTTTATGCATTTTAGCCAGATTAATGTTAATACAGATGATATTCAAACAGCTGGTTTTGTGCACCTAGAGATGAATGACTTCTGCATGTTTTTCAACCCTTTCTATAGAAAGGGCAGGAATGCACTAGAAAGGTGCAGTCCTGTGAGGTCGTTGCTTCCCAAAAACTTTTCCTCTGTTCAATCCTGCGGTGATTCTCCAGCAAAGCAATGGCTGAGAATTACACCCCAGAGGGACAGGAGCACTTTCCCTTTTCTCTGTCAATATTACATGTAAAAGGCACAGCAAGGAAGTCTGTTTCTCAGTATTGTACCTACTTGAGGCTCCTAAAGGTGTGATTAATTAGGTGTGATTAATTAAACCATGAGTCATGCCCTTCTTTTTTTCCTGTCACATTATTTATGAACAAGAGGGCAGTCAGTGACATTAAACGGTATGAGAAAGTAAGTTTAGAGGAAAATTTAGAAAGAAATTAGTTGTGTTGCACGTGGTCAACCTAAGGGATTTGCTGCTACAGGTGACCACCTGATAAATAGGATTCCATGGCTGGAAAGAGTAGTTGTTAATGCTTTTACCATAACAGATGGTACCAGTGCTATGTTTCTTGGACTGCTGGGTGCACTGGAAAGGCAGACGTGTTCTGCTTGACTAATAAAGTAAGATCAAATTCTTCATGTGCTGGGAAGTCAGGCAGGAATGCTGTCCTCCACAGACAGCAGCACTGCTCTGTTAGCTTGATCTGTGACTTACCATTTTGTTGTTTGGTTGTTTGCTTATTTTTCTGTCTTTTTAATTCCTCTGGAAAATACTGTACTGACTCTCTGTGTTGACTGAATGACCAGGCTTTGGCAGAAGACATCGCATTCTTCTTCTCTGACCTTTATATCAAAATCGATTAACAATAATTAATTTGCAGAAAAGGATTGACAACAAGATGTGGATGTTCATCTTTAATGAACTGTAGTCACCAAGTGAAAATCAGCTAATTTTGATGATGCAACTGACCACCTACTCAGCAATAGCTGAATATTTACTCCTTCACAAAATGGCAAAGTAATATTGTATTCATAGATAATATGAAGAACAACTTTTTGTCTCTCATAATTTCCTGGGACCTTTCTCATTAGTGGCAGTAGCAGGATGTGCTGGCTAGTATTTATGGAGTCAGAAATGGCATAACTTAGAATTAGAGCCTGTGTAATCCTGTCAAATATTCAGAATTTTGTGTTTATGTATTTTAATCTATGTAAAGTAAGGAGTCCACTCATAATCTAATTGATTTTGTTTATTATCAAGCTTGCCATTTTACAGAAGAGTTCACTGGAAGGTGTCTATTTTATATTGTTCTCACTTCCCTAACAGAAGACCTTATTTAAAAGAATCTTTGTTTTCAATTATGAAAATACTTTCCTGATCTCATCTCATTAAGCCAAAAAAAGATGAAGTGCTATTTTTCCTTTTTATTTGTGACAATACAAATTAAACACACCTATGGCAAACCAATTACTGTATTTTTTTTTTATATACAGAGCAAACCTATTAACTGTGAACATGAAGAGATGAAGCAAGCAAAAAACAAAGAAAAGTGTGAAGAGTTTTGCTGCTGTATCATCTGTGACACTGTATCAGCTCCTAGTTTTAGGAACGATGAGTAAATAGGTATATAAGAGATATGCTGTTATTCTACAAAGAAGGGTTATTTCAAAGAAATAAAGGAAAAAAATTAAAAGGGATGTCAGTATATTCTCAGGTACTATATGATGAGAGTGTTAGAGAGGGAGCTTCATTTGGTGTTCTTCTAGTTTTGAATCTATACAGTGGAACAGTACTACAGAGAGATCTAGATAATAATGTCCTTGATCTTGTCAAATATTGCCATAGGACTAGTATTGTTACTTTCTTGTTGAATTTACTCATGCAAGAGGAACCACTCTGTTATATAAGTTAAAGGTTCACATTCTGTCATTCATTTTTTCACTTTACGTTATTGCTAAAATAGAGGGAAAAAAGGGACTAAAGGAGGCAGGAAGAGAAGCAAAAATAGAGGTGAATTAATAGCAAAAATCAAATATTAAATATTTCCTTTAACTACAGTCAGAGATGGGGATTATATTTGACCAAACAACCAAATCCTCCACCACAAGCCAGGACTTCACTTTTTATTTCAATACTCTTGATAGAATGGACCCAATCAGTTATTCTGTATGTGCTAAATAGTGTACTACCAACACTAGTAGACCAAGCAGATAGTTTTGTTTTATTGTCTGAATGGTGTAATATTTTACTGCAAATATAAATAGTGTAGTCATTTGCCTGATCCAAGTTCCCAATGTACTTTATAATAAACCAAGTAATTTTGAGAGAAATATGTTGACCAACCCTAGCCTAACACTATTCACATAGTTCAATACCGAAACAAATTCCACCCATTAAAAAGTGAATGGTATTGCATTTACTTTTACAAGTTGAAGGATAAAGACAGAAATGTAAGAGATGGAGCAATAAGAACCATGTGGTCCCTGCTCTTTAAGGGTCTCATCCAGAGTCTGTTAAGGTAATGTGCATATTCTTTTTGATTTTAACAGACTTTGCATAAGTCAAAAATTATTGAAAATTAAGAACAGGAAAAAGAGTCACTGTGTTTACATTTGTTAGGTTATATCCATAATAAACTTGTAAAAAATGAAAAAGAAGAAAATATTAAAGCAGATCCAAATATTACATTTGTTCTAGAATTCCAGATTACTTCATTTTCTACTCCAATATAAGTGCACAGTGTCACGAACATCAGATTTTTCCAAAGTCTTTACTGAAAACATTTCCCATCATGGAATACTTCACCTTACTTTTTTCTTACAGCTGTTCCTTCTAGAAAAATGCACCTTCGGACAAGTAGTTATGAATATCAGGGCGGTAGTCTGGAGCATACCACAATGTGAGACACCAAAGCATTACAGATTGCTCCCATGGGAATTGCTGGGTGGGAGGTGGTGGTGGGTCAGAAAAAAAAAAAAAAGCAGAGTACCCAGGAGTGCCTCAGGGATCAGAAGCAGGGCCAAACATCACTTTTACAAAGATTTCTGACCTAACCTAGATTTTCATTTATGGCTAGGCCAGACAAATTTTATTCTTACAATGGATTTTTATCTCAGTTAAAATCAAACAAGCAAAAGGACTATAAGATTAGATCCTCATTCTGCATTCCACCAAAGGAGAACTGAGGAAAAAACAGCGTGATTTGCTGGGGCAAGATGAACCCTAGGTTGAAAGAGACCTCCTGTCCTGTTCAGAGGCTGTGCTTTCCTGACTGTGATGTAGAAGAAACACAGCTATCAGTAGGCCCTTGCAAAAACCCTCCACCTGTTTTTGCTCAAAGTGACAAAGCCCAGAGGACAATGTCTGTATTCCCTACTGGTCTGTAGAGAGTGTGATGTAGCTGATGCAATTCCCGGCTCCAACACACCTGCAAGGTCTCATTGATCTGCTGCTCACTGCTCTGAAAACTCAGAAATCTATTATCAGTGTAAGCATGTGCTTATTGATCAGATTACCTGCTTCTGTTCCCTATGTGTTCCTAATTGTACCAGCGTGCGCATGCACACACACACATAAATATACACACATTTTCATATATACAGGCACAAACACACAGGTTATAGGGATGTGTGTATGTTAAAGGCTTTACTTTTTATTTTATTTTATTTTTTGCTTTACAAAACTGCACATAAATAAAAAGAATGGACCTTCTCTGTGAAACGTGAGCACAGGAACACTCACAAGTGGCCAAGAGCTGCTAAATAATTAATCAATAGAGCAGTGTGGCAGTTTGAAATGTAAATGTGATGGATGAAGGTGTGATGCTTGTCATCAAGCAGAAAATGATGTGACTGGAATGGATAACCCACAGTACCTGCTAACTTGCAAAAGCTTGGACACAAAGATAGAGTAAAGCCATCAGAAAGCAGCCCTGGCAACCCCTAATTCTTGCCTTTGACCCACAATTCACTTTCATGTCTCTATCCCAGAAGAGATGTTTAAAAAAATGATGAAGAGAGATCTTGGGGTGGGAAAGGGGAGAGAAAAAAAAGCATCTGAAGAAATGCTACCTGACAAGGCTGCAGGCTACATTCTTGAGAACACCTTTCTTTTCTTTATGTTCTCCTACTCCTGTTAAATAAAAATGCGGCTCTTTTTTTTCCCTTTCCTTTCTTCCAAAACTCTCCCGAGCCATTCCTGCAAGTGGTTCTGTGACTCGGGAGCTGACAACAGCCGCGTGCAAAGGAACAAAGAATGAGAGTGACAATTCAGAGTGCACGCAGGTGAGAAAGACACCTTTTACTTATCAAACTAGGCTGCAAAAAATGCTCTTTTTACTCAGTGAGCTAGAAATAGCAGTGATCTAACAAGGCACTGATCCAAATTCTTTATTTATGCTGAGATGTAATGCTAACAGGATTTTTAGGTTGACTAGTAGTCTGTGGCCCCTCCATTCAAGTAAGGAAACATTCCTCTGATTTGGAAAGAGGAAAATCCATATAATTACCGTATATTATGTGACAGGAAAATGTATGCTGTGATGGCAAAGGGTGACAGAAAATGTCCATCAAAAAATTTGTTTTCAGTGAACTTCCTATGCCAGTCATTGCATTCTCTCCATGGGGAAATGCAACCTGGTGGAACTTATTTCTCCAAATTAGAGAGAAATTTCCTTTTTTTACAAAAGTGATTTTTGATTCTTTTTTTCCCTATAAAATTACAAACTTGCAAGTAGGATTTAAGAGTTTGATGGCTCCTTCTCCCTGAAAGAGACAATCCTATTTCTCAGTAAGAACTATTTTGCAGGTTGAGGGATTTTTTGCCTCTTTTGTTATCAAAAGCCCATTCTTTACAGAAAGTGAAAAATACTATAGTTTAACATTAGATTTTCAAACTCCCCAAAATATACATTGGCAGATAACACCTACTAAAAGTGAAAGCTAAATATAGATATATAATAGTGCTTTGTCACACTAAATAGGTGTTCTACGATTCTTAGATATAAAATATACATACAAGTATTCTCTTAAAATCTTTGGGGTTTTTAAGACCTCTACAAACATGAATTGGCCTAAAGAAGCAGCAGATCTCCAGGTGAACTGACCAGTGTTTTCATATTTCCTCAAATTATTATTTTTACCTTGTTTTTGTTGGGATCATGTTTTTAATCTTTATGATACATTTATACAAGAGGCAGCCAAAAAACACTTAAGTATTTAACCCAAACTAATTTTAGAAATCAGGAATTAGAGCTTACACTGGAATAGAAGTCCAAATGGTCAAGCTTCATAGTAAACAATCTACTTTTGGTCTGGGACTTTTGGTCCTGTAACTTGGCTACCTGGATAAGCTTAAACAGAGTGCCATCTATGTACACAGGGAATCACCACACTCTAAAGAAATATTTCCCATTTAGAATGACAAAACTGTGGTCTGATAGGTAATTAAGCTTCAATTTCATTTCTGTGGCATTGTAAATTGTGTTTTCAGATTTGTGCTTTTGGAGCTTTCATCTAGCTCATGCCAAAGCCACTCAGCTGTATATCTTTCCCAAATCTTCGTTCGCGAAGCCCAGTCATGGTATATCTTTACCTACATGGCAGGTACATTCATATTAATTTTTAGTCCTTTTGCACAGCTTCGGAAATGCAATATCATTATAAGTAGGAATCAGACCCTACAGTTTGGAACTATCTGGATACACTAGTCTAGGGGAAGGAGGAACGACCCCACACCATACATCTGCTGTTTCTGACAGGAAACTTTCATAGATTTTGCATTAGACCAAAAGAATTTGGTCTAATGGTGCAGAGAGATTGATGTTGAGTATAAGCAATTGCTGTATTGTAGTAATGTAGCAATATTTATGACTTGTAGGACTGGTAAAAGTGGAAAAGAGCCAATTTAGATCTATGTTGTCATTAAGCTCATAGAAGGCCATTTCTGTACCTTCAGTCTGTCTCAGCCATAGAGGAACTTAAAATAGGGAAATGACAGATTAGGCTG